ATCTTCTAAAATTAATCTCTGCCTTCTAAAAGTAATCTCTGTCTTCTAGGACAATTTTGACTTAATTGTCCTACAGTGTTTTAAATGCTTAACAATAAAATGGCCTCGCTTTTCAAATTGTTTACAATCAATATGAAATAAAAGATAAATGATAAAATAATAAAATTAGAATATATAATAAAAGATATAAAAGATAAATAATAAAGATAATAAAATTTTTTTCAATATCTTTTTTTTTTTAAAGATTTAATTGTTAAAACCTTTATTATTTTCAATCACTTGATGACGTCAAATAAATGAAAATCACAAGTTCTTTAGATCAAGATCAAAAAAATTAAGACTAAATAAATACAACATAAAATTAAACATCATCATTGCTTGATTTTATTTTTCTTAGATAAACTATGAAATAATACTAAATATTGTTACGTATTAAAACCGCATGTGATATTAAAAGATCCCGCTATTTTATATTTATACATATATTTACAATAATCTCTGGTAATTTGAAGACCAGACTTTAAAAGAATAAACTTTTAAAGTCTTACGAGCGGTATGTCAAATTTTGTGTTTCTCACATTTAAATTAATTAAAACATTCATGATAAATAAAAAAAAAAAACAGATTTTAAACTTAAAGAAACTAATTTATTTTGCTCTTTGATATACTTTTACACATACGACTGGTTATTTTTTTTAGTTAATGGTTTACCTTTTTATATAATCAACATCATTTTAGATCAAAAAATAATAACTTAACTATGAAGCAAAATTTTATACCTAAACTTAAGTAATTGGAAAAAATTTTAACTTCATTTAATTTCAAACATACTAAAGGAATATAAATTTAAAAAATTTTATTTTTTTATTTTTGACCTAAAGTTGAACTAAATGACCTTTGTTTAATAACTATATTTTATTATGGGCCAGTCCTAATAAAGTACGCAAATTGAAACTAATATTTAAATGTTCACCCGCCAAGAACTACATCTACAAAAATATAATGAAGGCTGAAATTGGAAAACAATTAATATGAATAGTAATGTGGCAATTGCTTGTAGTATTAAATAGTGTACTTAGTACAATCTGTGCTTTGAGTCAAGTACATCAACAAGGCTTTGCTGACATCTATAAACCGCAGTTAAATAGACTTTTTTTTTTTATTTGATCATTTTATTTAGAGTCATTCCTTTCTTTCCTGAATAATCCTTTTGGTTTTCACAGAATTTGCTGGCAAAATTTTCTGACAAAAATCTTTCAGCCAAAAACAAGGATTTGATGCTTCATATAAGCTTCAACATCTTCTGTAGCCACATTTATATCATATAGAAGATCTTTATCTTTACTTTCTATAATTAACTCACGAACCTGGTTGATTTCTGAAATGAGGTTAGCACAGTCAATACATTGTTCATTGTCTGGATTTATATCTGAAAAAAGAAGTAGAGTTACTATGCAAATTGGAATTTTAACTGCGTTTGGAAGGATAATTACTCTTAATTATATCTTATACCATTTTCAAGGAACTTAGTAATATTTTTATACTTTCACTTTTCAGAAATAGCAATCAAAGTTTGAAACCCATCCATGCCAGCTGCCGTGACATCATCAAGACCAGTCAAAGCTTTCCCTTAAGAAGGTTTTATTCCAAGAATTCTTCATAAAGAAGTATATGAAATTGGGAGATAATTTGTTTCTCGGCAAATTTCTTTATAAAATGCGATTGTATGGCTAAACTTCACCATTAAAATGGCAATTTTGTTCCTCTGCAAGATTTAGCTTATGATGTAAATAAAATAAAGTAAAATTTTAATTTATTTACACCATAAGCTGCATCTTGCAGCAAACCTCAACAAAACATAAGTTTGAAAAAATGTTCTATTTTTTCCTGTGGCATTTGAAATATTTTTACCTTTTCTTTTTTTAGTATGGAAAATACTCTGCTTTCTTTTTGCAACTTGCTTACTTTTTCGATTTGGTATTTTTTGCAAGCAAAGGTTTTCATTAATATTTCTTTAGTGTACTTGTAATGGTTAATAACTGAAAGCAAAAGAATTTGTCCTAAAAAATTGTTTTCTTGAAACATCTTAACTGGTACAACAAGGTCTTCTGGAACCAGAGTTAAAGCATCTTCATCCTTATTGTGTAATACTTGAGAAATTAATGACTCTGATTGACCAGGTGCAATTGCTTCAGCAAATATCTTCTCAAGCTGCATTTTAAATTTTTGAAATTTCTTTTAAATTTTCTATTTGGTTTTTGGGGTTAAGTCTTCTATTCACTTTATCTGAAAGGAAAGTGGACTTGCTCCAAATGCTTTAGTCAAAGAGCTAGCTGCTTTTTTTGATTCTTCGATAGTTTCATCTGAATTGATTGTTATATCTGGAACATATGTCCTTAGCAGGAAAGCAAGACTTTATTGGTGTTGGACCTGTTTCTTACATGTCAATATTGTTATCTGTAGAAATACTATTTAGGTAGCTGAAGCAAAATACGACTCCAACAAGAAATGTTGAACTATTTTTTTTTAAGCAGCAAGGGTGTTCAAAGGGAAAAATCTAAATTTTGGTACTCTTTTACCAATTTAAAATTCATGTCTTGGGTATTGATAACTGTTTGGCTGATTCTAGCCAACACAAAAAAAAACTTTCCATCAGGGTTAGGGTTATTTTCGCTGTTATTATTTACTATTGGGTTAGGGTTATTTCCACTGTTATTATGTTATTAGTATTACTAGGGTTATTTCCACAAGTCATTCCACTGGTTTGTCGGTGGTAAAACAGTAATATTAGATTTTTTAAACTATGGAGTAGAAAATTCTGTTTGTTTTAATAAAAAAACAAATAATATTATTATATCATTCATACCTTTAAAACTTGTAAATGATTATTTATGTCAGCAATCAATTCATTAACTTGAAAGATTCCATCTTTGTGCAAATGCTTAGAAGGACCACAAAAGGTCTTCTCTTTTTCAAAATACATGCCTTTATCAAAAGGACTGACTTTATTCAGTCTGAATAAAGTAAGTCCTTTTGATAAAACTGTCAAATTGCTCCTCAAAGTAGGAATACCATTCTATGCGCAAATATTTTATCAAATTGGACCAAATTTTGAAATCCACACAAAACACCGCGGATGAGCATTTAATCGGAAGTTCACGCATTCTTCCTAACAGATGTCGCAAAAATTGCCTAAAGGTAGTGTTGGAACCACAGATTCTCTGTTTTTGAGGCAAGTGCGCTACCACTACGCCACGACTCTTCATTTGTTTTAAGGGCATGAAGTTCTTGGTATATGATAAAATCAAAAACCTATTCCGACGTTTGAAGTTTTGTGTAAATTGATGACCCGAAAATATATTGATGTTTTAAATAATTGCGTAGCGTAAAAAACTAAGTATATATTTATAATTAACTTGCGCTTGAGTAAATAATTAGTAGTCTTGAGGAACTTAATTTTGTCTTGTCGCCTGGCGACGCGGGATCGATTCCACTTTAGCGCAAATGTTTTAGTGTGTACTTTTATGTTATATTTTAAAGTTTTTAGCTCTAGTTTTATGTGTTATGTCTATGATTGTTGTCAATGCGTTATGTCCATGATTTTTGTCAATAAAAAGTTAAATTGTTTATAAAATTTTATTTATTATAAAAATTGGAAAGTGTACACACATAGTCTGACTTAAACATGTAAAACAAGAAGGGAGTGTACATACATCGACTGACTAAATAGGTAGAACATGCAGGATGTGCATAAGGATGATGCAATAAGTTAATAGGTTTTTGATTCTATCATCTACCGAAGTTCTTAAATTATTTATTTTTTTACTAGGTATGTTTTTTGGACTAAAAAAATTTTTATAAGAAATAAAAAATACTTTAGAACATTGACTTAGTTATATACCGATTTGTATTTAACAAATTTTGTAGCTTCAACACTTATTAATGCTGTTAATAAAAAAGTATTTGGCAAAAAAAAAAACGTTTATTTATGACTATCCAAAACTTATTACTGTTTATTGGACACAGTACGTTTGCTAGATTTCTTAAGAATGTTCTAGTTGGCTGGATGTCTTAAGGGTGTTTTACGGAAAAGTCAAGTCTAACAATTTTCATTTTCTATTAACCTCACTTCTTCGACAGAAACAATGTATCGCCTAAGTTAACAACAATAAACAAAGGCACCTACTGAAAAATGAGCATAGTACCATAAAACATTCTAAAAAATTAAGACGAAAATATTTATTATTTATAAAATTAGTCCTCAAAAATACAGTTTAACAAACAAAAAATATATACATTGAAGCGTAGTTATCCTAAAAATCTTTAAAATGTTATCTAAGTTATATATAATGAATTCTTTAAACAGGTGTGTAATAATAATATTAATACATTATTATTATATTTATGTTGTTATTATTAATAATAATAACAATAATGATAACAACATATATAAATATAATAACAATATATTATTATTATATTGTTTTAAGCAAGAATGTATAACTACATTTACATTTAATCAAAAATTAATTTCTAATTTACTAATTTTGTTACACCAATTTTTTTTTTCAAAATATAAAAACCTGACGACAAAAAAATCTTTAACAAAGCATGACTTTAAAAAAAGACCACTTAAATAAAAGTAAAAAAATTTTTTTTAACATAATAATAACATAACAATAATAAAAATAGTAACGCTGCAATAGACTATATTTAAAATATCCACGACATATATCTAATAAAAATCAAGTAAAATCACATTTATATATATAAGTTTAGTTTTGCTGTGAGCATATATTTAGCAAGAGTGCTCGATGAATGATATTAGAGCTATATAATTCATTTTTTGACGAGATTAAATAAAAATAACTTATAAATAAATATTTGGATAGTTATTTTTATTTAATCTCGTCAAAAAATCAATTATATATATATATATATATATATATATATAATATATATATATATATATATATATATATATATATATATATATATATATATATATATATATACTCGATGTTCATAAAACAACAGAGCAATAACAAATTAATGTTGTGTTAAACCATTAAAGCTGCTGGAGGTTGGAGAAAATCTTTACACAAACATTTTGTCACAAAACATACTAAATATATTGTTTTAACTCTTCAAAATACAATATCACACATTAATAAATTAAATCAAACTCTTAAATGATGATCTCACAACTCTATTATTCAAAGGTTGGACTGGTCGAGAATTATTAGTAATAATTGGAGATCCATCGGAAGTTAAATGAATTGGTTTGCTGTTGCTGTTTGGGTCAACCGAATAAGTAATATTTAAACTTTTGAGCTGATCAAGTGAAATCTGAATTGGGTCTGGAAACAATACCCATGTTACATTTTCACTTAATGGAGGAATAGTTAGAGAACCACAGTATGTATAGTAATTTTCAACACGAGAAGGAAATAGGAAATATGGTGATATATTTATCATATGCTTATCATGAGGATACAATACTTTTTTAAAAGCATCAATAATTACATTAAACTCTTTATTTGGTTCATATGAGTCACTAGCATCTATCATTACTCCAAGAACAGTAATGCCATCCTTGGATCTTAATGCTTGTAAATCAGTTTCGTACAAATCTGTATTCCAATGGACAAGATGCAATTCAGCGGCATATCTTTTATCATCAAAAGAATGCTCACAACCTAAATTGCACTGATTTTTGACCACTTCTCCCCAGTGAAAGTGCAATTCTCTGAATGCATAATTATAATTCAATGGACCTCCACGTAACACAAGGCTTTTAAGATCATCAGCTAAAAATGAAATATTGAAACCAAGATTTCTTACATGAATGTTTATAGGTTTTCTCATTATTTCTAAAGGTTTTAGATTATTGTCATATTCAACACTTTGTGTGACAATATTAATTGGAGATTGATAATTTTTAAGTTGCCATGTGTCTTGCCAACGTTCTGGACCATGTTCTTTTGAATAATCCCAATCAGTATACAAACGATGATGTAAATGAATATTTTTGCGTTGAAAATCAAAAATTGTATTGAAAAAGAAATTAAAATATGATTTAGTGTTTATTTTACTTGACGATATTAACTTACTGCTAATATTTCTTGATACAAAAAAACATTTTCTACTTGTTTGGCGTACTAACATGATAAATGCTGTAAAAAATAATACAAAATAAAAAAAAAGAATAATTAAAATGTATGAAAAAGACTTGTGTTCGATGAAACCATATTTTTATAACACTTACTTTAAAATAACGCTTGTATTCTTCTTATAATATACAAGGGTTTTTATAAGATTACATGCTCGTGGTTATATCATACTACATGATTTAAAAACAAAGTTGTTATTAACATAATTATTATTAATGATACTTATCAATTAATAAGTGTATAAAGAGTATTACTTAAAGGTTATTATTTAATTTACTACTAAGCCATTTCAAAAGTTTTATGAAAAAAAATTTGAAGTATATAAAAAAAAATAGTGTAAGCCGTTTTTTAACCGGACCAGACCTGGTAACTAATATTTGCTTACGTAAACTTTGTTGAAGAAAAGAGCTCATTTTACCAACTATCGTTCGCCGTTCGTTGATTTTTTTTTTTTTTTTTAATTCATATATTTGCAGTACATATAATTATATGTTCATTACGATCTTCTTGAAGTCCGGCCTGTACTATTTAAGATCATTACGATCTATTTTGAACATATTGAACATACATAACATACATTTTGAACATACATAAGATCATTACGATCTTTTTGAAGTCCGGCCTGTACTATTTAATTATAAATTTCACTATATATTTTGACTCACGAGACTTTTAAATATTACAACTTTTAATTTACGAAACTTGTAAATGTTATATAACATTATTATGTAAATATTACAACTTTTAATTTACGAAACTTGTAAATGTTATATAACATTTACAAGTTTCGTAAATTAAAAGTTGTAATATTTACATAATAAAGTCTCGTGAGTCAAAATATATAGTAAAATTTACAATAGTACAGGCTGGACTTAAAGAAGATCGTAATGATCTTATCACGAAGCCCTTACAATGTGTTTGATATATATTATGATTATGTTAAATATAATTATATATTAAGTACAACTATATTTTTATAATCTTTAAATTAAGCTTATAATAAAAAATAAACTCAAAATAAGCTCAGTATAAAAATTTAGATAGCACACGACTCCGGGCCAGAACTCTGGCGAATCATCGCACGCCGTTGCGACTAGATTAGTAACGGGCCATTACTGACGCGAGTCTGGCAAGCGACTCAAGCAACTTTTTATGTACGGCAAATCATCGCAAGAAGTCGTAGCGCCGTGCGACGAAATGCCCGAATGTCAATAATTGAAATGATTTAAATATTTTTTTACGTTATCCATGATGGTACTATAAAAGCAAAACTAAACGTTTACTAGATATATTTTGTTATTATATTTTGGTTTGTATAAATGTTTGGTTATTATACTTTGGTTTGTATAAATGTTATGCTGATATCATATCAGCATAACTTTTATGCAAAAGATATGCTAAAGATGCTTATTTAATAAAAAAAACACGGTAATTAATAAAGTTAGATATATCTAACTTTAAAAAAAACATTCATTTTTTACGTAAAAAATGAAAGTTTTTTTATAAGGTTAGATATATCTAACTTTGACAAACACTTTTTTATTCATTATAATATATAAAAAAAATCTCCTGAACTGCAATTTCATCGACTAAAAAAAGAATTTTAATTTATACATTATACACACACACACACACACACACACACACACACACACACACACACACACACACACACACACACACACACACACACACACACACACACACACATATACACACACATATATATATATATATATATATATATATATATATATATATATATATATATATATATATATATATATATATGTTGTTTTGTTGTTTTTGTTTTGTTTTTTTAAAAAGGTCTCTGGTTTGAATTAGTCTTGTACTATTTACATTGTCCCTTCACAAAAATATTATTGTAATATTTATACTATATTCAATGTATTATTATGTATTATGTATAAGTATATGTGTATATTGTATATGTGTATGTGTATATCATATACATGTATATCATATACATGTGTATGTGTATAGTGTATATCATATAATGATGTTTACCAAATCTTTATCTTAAAGCAACATGCGGCAATATTTGTGTTAGACAACAAAATTTGTTTAGTGAAAAGTATTTATATTTTTAACAAGACTACCTATAGTGCACTAGTAATTTTTGACGAAATCAAATTTTCTTACTTATCCTTATGATTCAAGTCTGTTAGGAATATTTAGCATTAAATTTAGAAAAATTTGAACATGTTGCAATTTTAAATGACAATTTTCTCCAGTGTGTCTTGCTGTACTTGTTATAGTTTGTTGAAGTTTGTACATTGTTTATTTTTGTTCTTGATAACAAAAGTGCTTTATTATTTATTTTATTATTTATTATGTTGTGTTTCAAGTGTTTTTTTTTATAATAACATTATATTAATATTGTTTGTAATGATACATTCCATAGATAATAATTTAAAAAAATGATTTTGATCATATAAATGACATCATTAAAATTGCTTTCGATGATTGTCTGTGTAATGTATTTTCAAAAAAAAAAATTTTTTCATTTATTTGTATTTTATTTTCTGAAATACTAAGTATTTTTTATTGCTCTATATTTTAACATTTCTCAAATTTAATTTTTTTTTCGATTATCAAATATAACAAAATGATCAACTGTAATTACACTTAATGCCTTTAATTTTTTTTTATATATAGTTTATTACTACATTTAGCATATATTTTATTTCTATGAGAACGATTAATAAGTTTTATCATATTGTTAAAGTTATTGATGAAAAAAAAGTTCAGTTTGTTTTTAATGTAAAATTGATATCAATCAATCAATATATTTTTTGATAAAAGATCTTACAATTGAGGTCATTTACAAATAGTTAAAAGCTAATCTTAAGTAAATACCATGAAATAGGATTGATAATACAAATAATGATAAAAATAATACAAATAATGATAATTATAATGATGATAAATTAAAAGTTATAAGAACAATAAGATAATTATATGATAATAAATCAATATCGATTTTAAAACAACAATTGAATATAATACACAGACAGGAAAATTACAAACAGTTGTGTACTGACAAAACGTAACAACCTACCATGTAACTAAAACATTTACTGCAAAAAAAAGTAACTATTTAATAAAAATAATAATCTTAATATCAATAATCATAATAAAAACGATAAAAGTAAAATAGTTACTTCATTAAAAAATAACAATAAATGAACAAAACAAAAATTATTCAATTAAAAGTATAGAGTTTTCATAATAAATGACATTATTAAAATAAAAAAGTAAATCATATCAAGCAAACACTTATTGTCACTCCAAAATAATAAAATTTAGAAAATATTATTTTCTCTTTCTTACAAAAGGGAGCAATTTTTATATTTTATTTTAATTCCTTTTTAATTACTTTCCATTTTCGAATGTATTTTTTCTTTTAACTTTGGTTTTTTTTTCTTTCCTTTTTCTTTTCTTGTTTCTTTTTTCTTTTGTTAATTAATTTGATTTTTTTTTAAATTTTTTTAGTTAGATAACAAATGGTATTTGTGGATGGTCCTTTAAGACTCACCACATTTACTATTAAAAAATGTAAAAATTATATGAATGATTAGATTGATTATGATAAAAGTATTTTGTATAACTCTAGTTAGATGTTTTATGTATATTTTTACAAATATATATTTTTTTCTATAGTATATAATTTTTTTGTTTTATTTTGAAGTATTTTTCTAACATTTTTATACTATTTTGATTTTTTTTAGTTACATTTGACTAAACAAGAGAAAAATTACCTATGGCAAAAGTTTATTCAGACTTTTTTTAAATCAACGACAGTGAAACCCTGATAAATTTAGAAGTAAACAAATTTCAGAAAAGTCTTTGTCCTACCAGGTTATGATCATGATGATTGCCATGATGATATGATATACCTGATATTGATGAGCATATGTAATTTAGATGGTGATCATCATATCACGATGTTGGTTCACTTTCAGTATTTTATAGAAATGTATATTATCACAAATTTGTATATTTAAGTTCAGAAACTGACACTCCACAGTTACTGAAAAAAAAAGAAAGTCGTAAATAATAAAAAAAGATACTTGCTCCAGCCCGTGCTATTCCTCCTTTAACATTTTTATGTATTGAAAATTTGACTTCTTCGGATTTTATAAAATTAAATAACTTTTTAAAACAAGGCTCTGCTTCTGAAGTTTTAGAAAAGGATGTTTTTTTATACTTTTTTCATTTGAATATTTTTTTTTATTTTTGTAACTGAATTCCAATATGTTCTGAAACAATCTTTTAGTTATTTTATGTAAATAGGACACAAATATGCATCAAAATTTATCAAGTTAAATTGATGGACATATTTTTTTTGAAAGCAATGAGTTAGATCATCCACTTCTATGGTATTATAGTTTATTGACTGGAAAGTTTTGTTTTTTTAATGAAGAATTTATTTAAAACAGTGCTTTATAAGGTGACAATTTATTTTTAGCGCTTTAATTCTAAAAAATGTGTTTTAATTGAAGAAAATTGAAAATATTTTGTTGTTGCCTATTGTTGCCTATTATATCAACTTAGTTGCGTGCTGATCAGTTGCTGGATGAATTAAAGCTCTCATAGATCCCTAAATCAGTATTGTATCATCAGTTGCATCTAATGCAAAAATTTAAGCACATAGTAAGCATTAGTAAACTGAATTTAACTGTTTCATTATTGTTAATTTTTTGTTATTTTAGTTTTTGGGGTCTAAAGTGACATCCAATGGATGTTTATCTGTAAGATGGTTTCTTGCGAATGTGAGCAAAAAACACTTTACTGCATTGGTTAATAGTAATCTCGCAATTTACTCTTGGAGTTATTTTTATATGATTTTTTTTTTCGATAGTAATATGAACTTGTCTTTTGTTTAAATATTGTTTTAAATTTTAATTCTAGTGTTATTTTATTAAATACAATAGGGTTGAGGTGCAGAATTTTAAAAAAAAAGATGTTTTTTTAATTATACTAACGTTTATATATGTAAGTGTAATGTACATTTTAATCATAGATTTTAGTTTAATTATTTACTATTTCTTACACATAGTTTAACTTTGTGTTATTTAGATGCTGTGAAAATAAAAGTTTTAACCTCAGGAGCATCAGGAGAAGAGTTTAAACAGTAACTGAAGAGATATTTTTTCTTTTTGGGGATCGAAATAGCGGACGAAAAGCTCGAGAGGAACGTTCTTTGTATAAAAAGTTATTTGCTTAAAATAATAATTTGAACTTTTAATAACATTTTTTTAATATTTATTTCATTTTTTTTTAACTCATTTTTGGTTGGGAATAAATTTTGAAAATACTTAATTATTTTTTTCGATATAAGTTGGAATAAATTTCGAAAAGTACTTATTTGTTTGATTCATGCGGGATAATACATTTGTACAGAAACAGCTAATAATAACGTCTTTATGTATTAGTAAAAAGTAATGCTTTAGCAATGACACGCGACCACGAACAAACGTTGGAAAATGATCACGGATCAATACTGGTAATAGATAATGGGCCAGTGCTGGTAAGCGATCGTAGGCCAGTGCTTGCAAATGAATCCGGGCCAGTGCTGGCAAATGATCGCAGGCCAGTGCTGGCAAGCGATTGCGGGCCAATGCTGGCCCATGGCAGTGGGCTAGTGCTGGCCCAATGGCCGTTTCGATGCAGGCCTATGATCGACAGCCGTCATCGCGCCGTAGTTGCAAGCAGAACTGGGCCAGCATTGGGCCGCTAGCAGGAGGCTGTCTGGGAACAAGCAGCATAATAACTAAAATTGATAAGAAAAAATCAAGTGTTTTTTTTGTGTGTAATAAACAATTTTTGATATATTGTTTGAGAAAGGTAAGAGTTATTTAGATAATACACATAAACGAGTTAGTTCACTTTGTAGTTGATATATATGTATTTTAATTTATAGTCTTAGAAGAATTCTGAGTATCTTTTTAGATTCAGTATCAAATTTTTTAACTTTTTTTTCAAGGAGTTTTGATTATCTAGATAGCAAATTGATTTATTTTTAGTTACTAGTTTGTTGTATAAATAAGGACCCTGATATGAAATTGAGAATTGGGAAAGTTTTGTTTTTTTGAAAGGTGTAATAAAGGTTTGGTACTTGACCTAATTTAAATTTTAGCATAAACAATATATTTTGGTGAATGTTAATTTGAAAAATATTAAGCACATTCATTTCTTTAAATAAGGGTTCAGAGTGTGTAAATTTGTTTTTATGGTAGATTAGTCTTACAGCATGTTTCTGACGTCGATATAAAGTTTTCAATTTAGTTATATGCGTACTCGCTCAAGCTTTGTTCGCATATATGAGGTAGCTATGTATAAAAGAGAAATATATAAGTCTTAAATTACTTTGCGACAGCATAGATTTTGCTTTATAAAGTAGACCTATGTTTTTTTGATATTTTAGTGTTTAAAGCATTTATGTGAGTTTTCCAAGATAAATTTTCATCAATTATAACTCCTAAAAATTTAGTTTCGTGAGTTCTCTCAATTACTATATTTTCTATTTTTAGAGAGGGTAGAATATTTGGTAGTGTGTTTCTTTGTTGGTTTGAATGAAATAAAGCGTATTTTGTTTTTTCTATGTTTAGGGATAATTTATTTGTTTTAAACCATATATTTAATTTTTGGAGTTCTATGTTTACATTATCATATCCTTGATGTTTGTCGAAGAGTAAAATAAATTTGTATCGTCTGCAAACATTATAAATTCAAGTTTGCTAGAAAGGTCGTTTATATAGATTAGGAACAAAAGAGGAGCAAGAATTGAACCTTGAGGAACACCGCAATTTAATTTTAATATTTTAATTGTGGTAATTATCATCTATAATAACACACTGTTGTCGATTATACAGGTAACTTTTAAACCACTGCAGTGTATGATTTTTTATTCCGTATTTTTCCAACTTTTTTAGTAGGATTTCATGATCTATTGTGTCGAACGCTTTTGACAAGTCTACAAAGACTCCTAATACGAACTTCTTTTCATAGATTGATTCACTAATCCTATTGACGAGGTCTATGATAGCATCATCTGTCGAGTGCTGAGTTTGGTTTTCATTCAGCATTTTGTTTGTGGTTAGGTATTTATATAAAGGATTGTAGATTATTCGTTCGAGCAGTTTTGAAAATACGGGAAGGATTGATATTGGTCTGTAATTATTTAAGGAAGATGTATCTCCGGATTTATAGATTGGAATAATTTTAGCTACTTTTAAATAGTCGGGTACAATTCCTGTAATTATTGAAGAGTTAAATATTTGAAAAATGGATTTACTTATTTCTGGGAAGACATTCAAAATTATATTGGCTGGGATATTGTCGATACCAGGACCTTTGTTGATTTTTAATGTTTTAATTGCTGTTTCGTATTCTAGTTTTTTAAAAACTAGGGAGCAACGAGAGTCCTCAATGTAATTCTCAAATAAATTGTTTGTAGGTTGAATTTTAGAGGCGAGTTTGGAACCTATACTTGCAAAGTATTTGTTAAATTTTTCAGAGATAATTTTTTTATTATTAAACTATTTTTCACTTATGAGAACTTTTGGAGGTAGTTGGTTCGAGTTTTATTTATCTTTACCTATTACTTCTTTTATTATATTCCAGATTTTTTTATTATCTCCATTAAATTTTTGTATTTGCTTTGAAAAACACAGTTTTTTGGATTTTAATTTTATTTTTTCAAATAGATATTTATATTGTTTATACTTAGACAAATTAATATCGTTTCTATTTTTTAGATATTTTATGTAGAGTTTTTGTTTTTGCTTTGACGATTTTCTTATTCCCTTGGAAATCCATGGAGTGGTTAGGTATTTTGCTTTAATTTCTTTTTCGACCTTTGGTAAATGTTTATTGTAGAGATTTAGAAAAATGTTTATAAACTTATTATAAGCGGAATTTGTGCGTCCGAGGTTACATTCATGATATATTTTCCGAGGTTACATTCATGATATATTTTCCGAGTTTACATTCATTATATATTTTCCGAGGTTACATTCATGACAATTACATTTTTGACAAATTTACTACCGCTAGTGATTCTTTTAGTTTTTGGGTCGAAAATTTATTGATGCATTTTACCGACTACTTTTTAACTTAGTCATTTATTGATGCAATATAAGTCTAAAGTTGGAAATATTTTTAAGAGTTCGAACTCTTAATAAAATAAGTTGTTTTTGAAAAGTAACATAGAAATAAAAGTTTTTTTAAGATTTTGGGGCATATAGTTGTTGGATATCCAAATAAAAGCCATAAGGTGTCACAGCTTGAAGACCATCTTCACTACTTAACATATTTGTTTTATTATTTAAATTTTGGTTTAACCCAGCAAGACACAATGAAGTTGCATTCCGTTTGAATAAAGTCTATTTGGCTGTCCATTAATAAAAATATCAATACTTATTTTATTCATTGAATTTGATTTTTCTGGTTGCCTTGCAAAAAAGGTAAATTGGGGAGTGCAAATTAAAACGTGTTTTAATGCGTTGCATGCAATGTTCACATCGAAAAGCCATAAAATTGTGGTTGAATCTCACTGCATACGTCGATAACGAACTATTTGCTCGAGGGAAAAATATTTTTTTTGAGTTGATCTAAAATTTGAAAGAAGTGTGAAACTCTTCTCGACTATTATACATTTCATAATCAAGAAGCGTGAATTGCTTTGACTCAGCGGGGGCGGGGTCTCTACCGAATGCTAATGATATTGCTGCATCAGCTGGGTCGGCCGGATTGTCAATACCTTGCATTAACCTGTCTATAAGAGCTAGTACTGATGAGGATTAAAACAAATCTCAAACACTCCATTAATTACCATAGCAAAAAGTACTTTGAATTTTCTGACCTTGCATTCTTATAGTGAGTTTATTTGACCTAGTAATTTATTAATGCATTGATCTAGATTTGCTACAATTCTTATTCGCAGAAGCGTAATACCACAAAAAATACGGATGAAACAAATACAGAAGTTATACCACGCATTAGTTTTTATTATTTAAACCCAAATCTAAGATCAGATTAGTTTCGTAATAAATTTAACAAAATAAATCAAGATTGATTTTGGACAGCCATTTAGCTTTTTAATCGTACAACACCTGACATCAATATTTAGTAAATAATAAAGCCACTAAATTGTTGAAAAACTTACAGCTCTTAGCGAGGAACAAAATTTAAGGTTTAATAAAACTAAAATTAAGGGGAGATTTTACATAAATGAGACTGATAGATGAATTGGTATAAAAACACGTGTAGTTTAAATTTATGGTACGAGGGGGTGATAAAACTTATTCTACCCAAGTAGCAAACAATATTGGCGCAATATTGGCGCGATATTGGGTATCTTGGCCTAGATTGGCCAAGATATGCAATATTGCGCCAATATTGGCAAACAATATTGCGCCAATATTGGCATATCAATATTGGCCAATATTATCATACCAATATTACGCCAATATTATTTTCCTTATATTGGAATATAATATTGGCGCAATATTGACATGCCAATATTGGCCAATACTGATATGCGAATATTGGTGCAATATTGTTTGCCAATATTGGCCCAATATTATTTTGTTTTCATTACTCAAATATTGGCCAATATTGACATTTTTACATATTGGTACGCATGCGTAACTTTATCGCTTGTTCATAAAGAAGCACTGTGAACATCAAAGGACAAAACTATAGTTTTGTCCTTTGATGTTCACAGTACTTCTAATAAAACATTTACAGATTGAATCACGAGAAGAAGTGGTTGTAATTTATTTAAAAACAGATTGTATCACGAGAAGAAGTGGTAAAAGTGAAGAAATCCTTTTAATTGAAAATTTAGAGATTGTATCACGAGAAGAAGTGGTTGTAATTTATTTAAAACAGATTGAATCATGAGAAGAAGTGGTTGTAGTTCATTTAGAAACAGATTGTATCACGAGAAAAAGTGGAAAAATATTTCTGCACTATAAGACAAAGGTTGAAATAGTAAGTTTACTTTTATATAAAAACAATTTGAGTTAATTGCATCTGCAAGATTTGTATAGTCTATAAAGATATTCAATTAAGTAACAAATACGTCATATGATTTACATTTTAATAAGTTTGCAAATAAATAAATTTTAAATAAGTTATTATTAAATCTAGATTTAGGTTTAGCTATTTTTTATTTTCTGTTTTATTTACTTTCTAACTGTTTTAAGGTTTTAAATTTATGAATAGCAGTTACAATATTAA